TTTCTAATGTAAATGTCATCATTTAAATAGAACCAATGTATTATGTATTGTTTCTGGATGTGAACTGCAATTTGCAATGTAGTTTGATTCCTAAAGATAATGAATATTGTTGACAAATTGCCTATCAAATATTTAATACAAATAAAATAGCAAATGGTGAGTCATAGTTGGAAAATTTGTTCACTTAGTGGGGAGAAATGAGCCATGTTGCTACCTTTAAAGGACACTGGAAATTGATGGACTTTTGGGTGGGGGAGGTAAGAGGAGAAAAACATGGCCCTCTTCTCTTTGCCACCACCTCTCCATTCCTCATTTCTATGAACTGTGATTTCAATGTAACACCTCATCTCAATTGTCATTAATAGTGCTTACCACTACCTCCTTTTAATTGGTACTTGTTCCAACACTGTATGAGCTAAGGCTACTATAGAACTTTGCCTCAGTGTTATTTTTTTCCTCTCTCCTTGCTCTCCCAAATTCTCATTTCCATCCAGTTCTTTACTGCCCACTCTGTTAATCTCCCCTTTGCCAACACGTATCATTTATCTTTTTCTCTTGCTCTCCCATACTGTTATCTGTTTTCATCAAACTGTTAAGAGAGCCATCCTTCCCCCCACTTCCTTAATTCCTAGTCTATATCCAAGAAGTCAATTTTACCTATCATCTGTATTTCCTATTTATGACTCATAAGTATTGAAATCCACTTGTCTATTTAATTTCAGCTTCTTTCCTTATCTAGTCATCTGTTGCATCTTCTTCCCCTAGAAACCGTGGTAGTAATGTTGTGCTCTTTTATACCTTTCTAATCCTAGCCATTATCATCTTTTTCCTCATTCCGCTTCTACATATTCTCCATTTTTACTAACTTCAATGCACATTGTTTTACCTCAGTCCCTTGCTTGCATCTAGGACGACTTAAAATTTACCTGATGACGTCGAGTCTGAGTCAGCCAGCTGCTTTTAATTTTCTTTCCAGAATCTCTTAATTTGATCTAGATAAATGACCGACTCAGCATGCCATTGTGGTCTCCTTTTTTTGAAGTTTTTTTTGAAGCACTGCTCTTGTTCAGTCCGAATGCCCCCTTTCACTTGCTGCCCTTCACATATGCTCCCTCTTTGCCTCACTAATTTCATTCATCATCTCCCATCTATCACTTCTCTTATCTTCTTCCCTATTTTCAGTGAACTCCATTAGCTTTACTTTTAGCCCCATTCTTTGCCCATTTTTGAGTTCACCCCCTTCACCCCATATACTATTTTGTCTGTCCCTTTCATCCTTAGCCTTTGCTGTTTTCCTGAGTTTGCTGCTTTGATAGAACAAGATCAAATGCTGAATGCCTTTGCTGAGAATCTTAAAATTACAGTCAAGCATTTTTGGAGAATGCTTACAACTACACTAGCTTTTTCTCCTTTAGCAAGTGGTTGAATGTAAGTTGACCCAGGAATGGAATTTTAAATGTATCGTGCTAGATACCAATATGGAGAAAAGTTGTTCTTTTGGCCCAGTGGATAATAAGAAAAAGCAGAGTAGAGCTGCACCTTATAAACCAGCTAAATCAAAGATGCATAAGCTTTCATAAACAACAGCTTGCTTCATCAGATGCTATGAAAAGACATCCCAACTGTACTTTCTGTGTTAGTTGGTATAAAAACTTTTGAGTTCCTTTTCACATCAGCAGTCACAGCATTCAATTGTAATTAAGAGGGGAAGGATAAGACTTGTTTGACAGCATGTCCAGCAATATGATTGTATCACAACTGTCTACTTTACAGAAGGAAAATGATGTTGCCATAAAATGATTAGTAGATTAGTAGGTCAGAGGGAGTTATCCCCCCAAAATGGGAAAATATGCAGATTATTTGGGTGCAAAGTGAGCTAATGCATAATTAAATATTTTTTAAGTTATCTAAATAAAAAAAACCTGTCATCTTTGTTTATCACTTTTATTTCTATATTTCAATAGTGTTTTTTAATTTTTTTCCAGTCTCCAGGCCATTCCTGTAATGTCTGTCATTTTTGTTCTGTGTTAAATGATTATTCCCCATGCTTTCTTTGATACTTTTATCATCTTTAATATCTGCATAACAGCAGAGGTGCTTTTTCTTTCTTCATCTCTCTTTGCTTTCTATCTCTTTTTTAGATGTGCATGTGATGCAGCACCCAGCTCTGCGTTGCATACATTTGTATAAATGGCGAAATGCATGCCAGTGCTGAGAAAATGGTGACAGTGCACTGTTGAACTAAAACACATCGAAGGCAGTGGCGACGTGTAGAAGGTGCTTGGGGGTGCACGTGCACCCCCTGACAGCACCAGTGCACTCCCTGGCTAGCTGCGTTTGCTGCTTAGGCGATGGGCAGGGGGGGCAGGCGGGAGCAACGGTGCCCACCCTGGAAGTGCCGGCTGATCGCTGCAGCGATCGGCTATCACAGGATCAGCTGTGGGGGTCCCCCCAGGCAGGGAGATCAGCCGCGGGGGACGCCCCCCAACTAAGGTGGCACCAGTTGCCCATGATTGAGTTTTAGTTCAAATGTGCACCACTGCCATTTTCCCAGCACTGACATGCATTTCGCCGTTTATACAAATATATGCAACACAGTGCCGAGCGCATCAGATCACATGTGGAACAGATTTGATTAATCAAGTCTGCTCTGGTGTGTCGCAGCATGAAACAGTATGTGTATAAATGCCCTATGATTTTGTCCTGCTTTTCCAAGTCTCTCCTCTATTCCTTTCATCCTCTATTCCAGGGGTACCTGAGAAGGCCCTGTACGCGTGGGCAGGTGGGGATGGAGCGCCGCCACTTACCATCCAACGCTGCTGTGCAGGCACCACCCACCCAGCAGGACACAAAGGGCAGGGGAAGCTTGCACATGGCACCTATGCCCGCCCTCCCTCCCCCCGCGCCTGCTCCACATCTGGCTGCTGGGGGTACACTGATCCATAAGGGTTGAAAAACCCTGCTCTATTCCTACCTGGCTTTGGACCCCATGTTCCCTCCATTCACCCCCACTTCCTCTTTTCCATTCCTATCCTTCCTCTGGAGACCTACTTTATTCACCAAGTATGCAAAGATGGTGATTATGTGCATGTGTATCACTGGCCAAATGTGGGTGACTTGACAGCCCTGCCTTGAAATAGATACAATCCATTGCCCAAGGTTAAAGTAAAAATAGTAACACCTTAGGGCTTTGTCTGCATTCTGGCCAGCGGCCAGAGGTGTGAATGTACAGGGCAGGGGCTACTTTTCACAAGCTCAGAGGACAGTAACTGTGAGGTTGCCAGTTCCACCTCCAAAATGTAGTAAGCTTTTTTGCACATAAGCAGAGGTGGCCAACCTGCAGCAGGCCTGCCACAAGGGCACAGGCTGCCCCTGTGCCTGATATGGAGCAGATTGGGAAGCAGGGCAGGCAGCACAGTAGCAGACAGGGCCGGAAGCCGAAAGCAGAGCAGCAGATTGGACAGGGAACTGAACACAGATCACAACAGCTCTGAAGGGATCCTGGTTTTCTTTGATTAAAAAAAAATCCCCAATTTTCAGATTTAAAAAGTAACCCAAACTCCACATTTTTTCCTGATTAAAATGAAACACCACTACTATCTATCTGTCATCTATCTATCTATAGTGGTGTTTCATTTTAATCACAGAAAAATGTGGAGTTTGGGTTATCTTTTTGGATCTGAAAATTGGGGATTTATTTTTGATCACAGAAAACCAGGATCCCTGTAGATCAGGCAGGGTAAAAGGGACAAATAGCACTTGGGGAGGGTGCCTGTCTAATGTGACCATCTCCCTCTGCCTGAAGAAAGGCGTTTGTACCCGACTGCTTGCAAAAAATTTTTCTTCCCAACTATTTGGTCTAATAAAAGATACCCAAAGAGCCATGTCTACCTGCATCCGTAAACCAACACCCCGGGTCTAATGGTTGGCACCCCGGCCAAAGAGGCTGCCTCAGTGCGGGCTGAGGGGAGGGGGCGTAGCTTCCCATTCACCCCCCCCCTTCCTGCCCCGCCATAGGTAAAGAGAGAGGGAAGTCCCTTACCTTTAGCCCCGCCCCCTCAGCCCGCACAGTGGGGCCTCGGCAGAGGCTTGGAAGCTGGGAAGCTGACTGAGGGAGGGGGCATGACTTCATTTTCGCTCCTCCCCTTGTCCTCTAGCCCCTCCCCTCAGCCCTCAGCGCCGGGCTGTTGGGAGAGGAGAGCGGACCAGGGAGTGGGGGCGTGGCCTCGCACTCCCTCCGTCCCTTTGTCACCTGGCCCCGCCCCCTCAGCCTTCTCATCGCCGGACCATTGGGAGCCGTGGCCTGCCACTCGCTCCTCCCCCTTTCCATCTAGCCTCACCCGCGTAGCCAGGACTCTTGGGAGAGGGGAGCGGGCTAAAAAAAGGGGGGGCGGGGTGACTGGGAGGCCACGCCCCCTCACCCCACCCTGGTTTCCTCTCCGGCGGGGAGGGGGCGTGGTTAGAGGGCAGGGGCGGGGCGAGCGGGAGGCTACGCCCCTTC